GGCCTCCACAGCTGTGAGAAGGCGGCTCACGGCGACCGGAGGGGCGAGGAGGCAGCGCCTGAGAGCCTCGGCATAGTGTACAGGTCCACCCGCTCGGCGAAGCCTGTGGGGCCGGAGGACATGGGGGCCACCGCTGACTTCGAGCGGGACACCGAGAAGGAGTACCATACGCAGACCATCTTCAAACGCAGCCAGCGGGTCCAGGAGGCATTGTGGGGCCGGGAGCACGACCAGATCTACCGGGGAATCAACAGCTACCCGAGGTACCTGAAGCCCAGGGACACGTCCATGGGCAACTCCTTCTCGGGGATGGCGAGGAAGGGCCCCATCCGTGCGCCCGGGCACCTGCGCGCCACTGTGCGCTGGGATTACCAGCCCGACATCTGCAAGGACTACAAGGAGACCGGTTTCTGCGGCTTCGGGGACAGCTGCAAATTCCTCCACGACCGTTCCGATTACAAACACGGGTGGGAGATTGAACGGGAGCTTGAAGAGGGTCGCTACGGTATCTGCCAGGATGAAAACCATGAAGTAGAAAGCGAGGAAGAGGAAATACCATTCAGGTGTTTCCTATGTCGCCAGGCCTTCCAAAACCCAGTCGTCACCAAGTGCAGGCATTACTTCTGCGAAAGCTGCGCGCTGGAGCATTTCCGGGCCACCCCGCGCTGCTACGTCTGTGACCAGTCAACCGGTGGCATCTTTAACCCCGCCAAAGAACTGATGGCAAAACTGCAGAAGCTTCGGGTTGCGGAAGGTGGGAGCAATTCCCATTTCACAGAAGACCCAGGTGAGGGTCCAATTCCCATGGCTTAGGTTTCCCATAATTCTCACATTTAAAAATAAATTGTGTTGTTCTTTTAAAAGAACAACAAAAAGAGATGAGAAAGACTCAAGTCTGTTTGGACACTGGGGAGAAGCAGCCTGTTGAATAAGATGAGAGAGATGACAGTCTTCCTGCAATCCCATGCCTGAGTATGTAACCAAAAGAATTGAAATCCGGATCTCAGAGGTATTTGCACTCCCATGTTCACTGCAGTATTATTTGCAAAAGCCAAGAGGTGTAAACAACCCAAGTGTCCATGGATGGATGAATGGACAAACAAAATGTGATACATACACACAATGGAATGCTATTAAGCCTTAACAGGAAGGAAATCCTTTTAAAGATTTAAACGGATCCTTTTAAGGATCACATGCTACAACTTGAATGAACCTTGAAGACGACACTGTGCTAAGTGCAAAAAAGACAAACATACTGTATGATTTTTCACTGAGGTAACTAGAGTTGTCAAAATCACATAAAAAGAGTCGAATGGTGATTGCCAGGGGCTAGAAAGAGCGGGAGTGGGGAGCTGTCGTTTTAATGGGTACAGAGTTTGCGTTTTGCTAGATGAAAACTTTATAAAACTCTGTTACACATCAATATGTATATAGTTAATATGAGTGAACACTTAAAATGGTTAAAGGTACATTTTATGTTTTGTACTATAATTTAATTTTTTTTTTTTTCAAAAAAGCTAGGAGATACCAGAGAAGGAAGGAATGATGGAACCAAGACTGGGAGGGAGTGGAGAGGATAGGGTTCAAGATTTAGCAAAAGAGCAAATAAAGTATATCAGTTAAGAACCAAGGAGGAGAGGAGTTGACAGAAGAATATCCACGCTGAAGTCTGGATTTGATTTTGTTTGGCTGATGTTAACATCCTCTCACTTAAAATGGCAACATATTCCTCTCCCAAGACAAATACCAACAGATCCACCCTGAGTTCCTCACAAGGAACTGACACAGATTATGTAAATTTTCATGAGAGCCTATCTCATATCTCAACTTTGGCTGTGAATTCCTTGAAGACTGAAACAATGTCTCACATACTTCCTGTTTTTTAATGGCCAACAGGTAGCTCAATAAAAAGTTAGTGAAAAGTCAGTCAAACCAAGCTTCCTAGCAGTCGGCTATCCAAGCACCTGCTGCAGAGCGAACTTCAGCAAAACTTTCCATTTGATTTTGACCTTGAACCATACCCATCCACCCACCCACCACCATGGCCAGGTTCCAGGCAAAAGCAGAGCAGTAGTTGAGGGCACAGATCCAGGAACGAGATAGGATTCAAGTCATGGTTCTACCACTTACAGCTGCATGACCTTGGGTATGTTACTTTACTTCTCTGTGCCTCAGTTTCCTCATACGTAGTAGTATCTATCTCACAGGGTTGTTTTGAAGCAAAAACTAACATTTAGAACAGTGCCTGACATATAGTATGTGCTGTAAACATATTGATTATTATAATTCGAGCAGGGAAAATGGCAGCTTGATAGTCGACAAGGCAGACAGTTCAAGTGCCCTATAAAAGTGAGCCATTAATTCTGGCATTTCACATAGAGCTTTCTCTAAGAATTGTCCTTGCCAAAGCTAACAACACAAAGCTTGTGTACAATGACTTACTGGGCCCTCCCCCTAAGTCCCTCCGTTTTTGTCAGTTCTGTCAAAGGGCTATTTTATTCACTTTCAAGCCTTCCAAAAACATTTGGAACCTGCATAAAAGAAGAAATATGAAACTTTCAGGCACTCCGAAGCAGAAACTCTAAGCTCTGGCTCCAGCATTTTCCTCGCAAGGCTCACTTGAGTTTCTTTACAATGCTTCATGTGTGTTTTAGACCCCCTCATAGACGATGGACTCAGCTACACTCGTGAACCTTGTCAATAAGTGCTCCAAGTCACCAACCTTTTGAAAACATTCCAAATACGCACTAAGATACAGAGTTCTTATTCCATTTTTTAAATGACAGAGTAAGGTTCATGATCGATCATTTGCAAAATTAAGCAGAAAGGCGATCATTGGTAAGCATTGCTGAATTTGGCAATTTGGTTTACTAACAGAGTGAGTAAACAAAAGCTGCTAGCATTTTGGCCGATTTCCTTCCAGTCTTTTCTCTGTGTATTTTTCATATTAACGTATGAAATAAACATTCTGGAGTTGGAAGGAAAGAAGCAAGCAGGACCGCAGGGAGTGCACACATTCCCTGGGAGCTGAGTCCTTCCCATCACCACACTCCAAGGTCACAACGCTGGAGCGACCCCTCACAGACTTTTGCTGAAATAGCGGAGAACAGGGATGAGGACAATCTCCCATCAGCACCACACCACCTTACACAGCACACTGCTGGGGAAGTGAAGAGCAGTGTGGGGCCAGCTGGCTTTCAAAGTTAGCACCGTGGTTACCGGCACTTTATCCTGTCTGGATCGGGTCCTACCACATCACACCCCAACCCCTATCCTTCCTGTCAAAAGAACACATCAGCCAGGCTGCAGTTAAGCAACAACTGACTTGGCCTTTTTTCTGTTCACTGAAGGCACACCTAATGGTCAGTAAGTCCTTCTGAATCAACATGAGCAACGTGAGAAAAATCTGGCAAAACCAAACAATGCTTTGATGTTTTCATTAATTTGCTGGACTTACGGAGGCAGCTCCAGTCCCTCTCCCCATGACTGCGAGTTTCTGGTTAGGCCTTCTGAAATCCTGAAAATGCTTCACAGGCCTGCATTCCAAGGTCACAAACCCCCTAGGATTCCAAAGACTCCAGGCAGAGGCAAAAACCTAGAGTACATGAAAATCAAAGCCTGAAGACATTTTACCCAGATTGATTAATATCCTGAAATATACAAAATTCCTTCTAAGGAGTTTTCATAAGTACCACCTAAAATTGAAGAAAACAGGAACATTTTGTTGTTTACTTTTTCTGTGTGCCAACTGCCCATAAAAATTCCTCTCCTGTTTTGCAAGGACAGAACTCTCAAGAACAAATGACCTAATTAAACCTGAGATTTCCTGGCTGAGAGCTATGTATAAAGCTGAAATGCACTGAAATGATGCTGAATTTGAAAAGAGCTCTATGCCAAACTGATTCAGTGAATTAGGTTTGCCTTTTTTTAAGTACATATCCGATGCTGGAACTAAAAAACATGAGGATGATAGACATCCTTAACTACTTTTATTTATGAAGCAACCAGAACGCGTATTTCCCCACTTATCTACTGTACATTTTTCAAAATGTGATTATACCGCACTACAAATGCATCTTTTTGGCACATTTCAATGGTCTGCCTTTGCTATTGGGCTGTTGCCATTGCAGTACAATAACATGGATCTGCTGTCTCTCATCCTAGCTTTCAGAAATGTGCTAAGTTATCTCACACTCTCCACGGGCTCTAGACTCCCACTCCCACTGATTTGCACAGATGTTCAAGGAGAAAGAATTCTTTTTTCCTTTAAACGAATGTCAAGGGCCTGGCAAAATCCTGTACTAAGAAATGCAGAAGTCAGCACTCTGGAAAAGCTGGTTATTAACTCACTTCCTTCTCTCTCCAGCTTCTTCACTTCCAAAAAATAAATATGGAAACTATAACACTTGCCCAAGGTCTAAAAGAAACCAGGAAGCGGGCAGGTTAAGGGCTAACAGGTAACTTTTCTCTGCTCCTGTCTGTTAAGGAACTGTTTGCTTCATAGCTGAGCATTTTAAGGGTGCTATGCTAGAGGCAGCTCTGTGATTTTCATTCTTTTGGCTACAACCCCTGGGGAGGTGAGGTCATGGGGAAATTCCAAGGGGGTCAAGGAGACCAGAAACCTAGCTGGTCACATAACCGCTCAGTGGCACTGCCGGAGACTAGTCCCGGTCGCCGTGCCAACCCCCATGACGCCCTATTTTCAGAGCCTTGCTGGTCCTGCCAGTTTCTCCTGCCTTCCAAGCACTCTGTGCCGACAGCCACCAAGACCTCCCTCAGCAGCAGAAATGAAATCAGTCACCACACCCTGGTGTCTGCAGGACTCCCACAGAGAAAAGTCTCATTCACGGCTAATCAGAACTAGAATTCTCATACTTTTTCCCACCCCGCCCAACAAACAGCAGAGCACAGAAAAAGAACAGCCGATTTCCATGGCGCTGCATTGCCGGTGACATCTTCTCTTTGTTACCATCCAGAAGAGAACTGCTGCGCTGATGTGAGGCCGGAAGACACTCCCAGAGCGCCACAACATCTGCAGTTAGACTTAAAACCAAACATCAGGCTGAATGTGATTTTCTGTGTGATAGGGAAGAAAATGAGATAGAGAAATGTGACCCAGCACATGCGCAGATACATGCAGGGGCACAAGTCTGAATGGTCAATTCAAAAATGTCATTCACACACTCAGACGAGTTCAGAGGCTACCTCATTGATGGGGAGGGGGATTTTAAACAAGTCATATAAATTAGACTAATCTGTGAATATCTGACTGAATCTGCACCCTTAGAAAATAACAATTTTGCATAATTTTTAACAATGCAGCTCTGGTATGATTACTGCTATTACAGTAAATTTTTAAATCATCTTATTTTATACCTTGGTAAAATAAAATGGACTTCCAGTTGAACGTGGCAGATTAACCACATGCCTGCATCAACACCAAAAATCCTATAAAAATGACAGTAACTATACTTTAAGAGGACTATAGCAGCAGGAACAAGATCAGATACAACATTCTACTGACTTGTGGGTGATGGAAAGCAAGAGAGAGGTCTGTGATGATTTGTATCATAAGTGATCCTCAGAGAATTCCAACAAAATAGTCCAAAGCCCAGGAGGCTCACGCTGAATGGGAGGGAGAAGGGTGTGGGAAACAGAGGGTGCAAGTCACTATACGAAGAGGCTAGACCTTTGCACCCAGGAACCCTCTCCCACCTACCCAAACCCCAAAAAAGTTTATTACCCAAGGACATTGAACCAGGAAAATTAGAAACTCACATACTCTAGGCACAATGACAAAGAGGGTGTGTGTA